CTGAGGATCCCCTGGAGGGGTGAGCTATGGGGAAGGGGGATGACGAAGGGAGGAAGGAGGAGCTCACCTCGGCTCGCCCTTGCCCGTGTCCGTTCACGCTCGTCTTCGTTTGTGGGCGTCGTCAACACGCTCGTGCGTGGGCAGTGGATGTTGTTGCGTGGGCGTTTTCGTGGGCGGTGGGCGTTTTCGTGTGGGCGGTGGACGTTATCGTCGTGGGTGGTGTCCGTTTTTCGTGGGCGGGGGACGTTTTTCGTGGGCGGTGGGCGGCGGACGTCGTTGGTGGGCGGTGGGCGTTGGACGTCGTTGGTGGTGGCCGTTGTTCATGGGCGGTTGACATCGTTGGCGGTGGGCGTCGTTCATGGGCGGTGGACATCGTTTTCGTGGGCGGGGACGTCGTTTGCGGTCGCTGGACGTCCGTGGGCGGTCGTTTTCGTGGGCGCTGGTCGTCGTTGGCGTGGGGTCGTTGACGTTGGTGGGCGCTCGTGGTGGTGGGCGCTCGTTGACGTTGGTGTGGTGTGTTGGTGGGCTGTTCGTGGTGGTGGGTCCTCGTGGCCGAGCAGATACGGCGAACGACGACCGATGTCGTCGTTCGCCGTCTGGTTGCCACGTCGCGACGTGGCACCTGTGGTTTGTGTTAAAAAGGAGAGTGGGTGGGGTGATTGTTCCCACTTACCTGGGCTGGGCCCTCGTCACGCGTCGTCAGCGTCAGCGTCGTCCTCGTCGTCGTTGTCGATGTCGCGGGCGGTCGTGGTTTGAAACGGTGGTGGTGGATGGTGATGGTGGTGGAAGGAAGGAAGGAACGACGTGGCAACGCTTCAGCCACAGCTGTCACGTTTGACGCGGCACGTGCCTAAAAGTGGTATATACAGTCAATGTCATTCACCCCTTAATGATACACCACCCCCATTTGATACACTTTTGACTAGCAAATATCTCGCTCAATACTAGACCGATTTTGACAAAACAAGTTGTAACAAGTAGTACAAACTCATATCTACCACCGTACATAATTTGGATGCAATTGAGGTAGAATTGGCAAAGCTGTGGAGCATACAAAATGGACTGTTTTTCGGAAATAGCCAAATACAGTCACACCCCTCAATGATACACCTATAATCTTAGTTTTTCTCTGTGAAATGTGGGTCAAACATTCTGAAATTTGGTATGGTCATAGAAGGGCATTTATCTGAGATTTTCATGTAGTTTTTGTAGGGAAAGGATGTGCTCAAATCTGTTGAAACTAATTTCTCATTTTGGGTGTATCATTAGCAGGTGGATGACTGTATATACCTTTAGTTTCTCATATCATAATGCCTTCTGTGGTGTTGCACAATCCTTGGTAAGTGTGATGACCAGTGACATGCCGTGACATAGCGTCACAGGGCCAATTTCTTGAGACATGGACTTTGTACCTTCCACAACACCAATTCAATATATTTTTTGCACTGGGTTTGAGGGAATGATGTGATTGAATCCACTGAGAGAGTTTTCCATGTAGAAATTTTATTTATTGCTCCAAAAATGCGAAATCAGCTTGTTTTCCCTGCCAAATTTGGCACTCTGGAGAGATTGGACTATAGCTTTCCAACCACAACACGTATGAGCATGGTTTGTAGGAGGATATTACTTAGAATTTGAATTCTAATCAATCTACGGATTCAGAATTTTTATTTGTGGCCCCTATGTCGAGATCACCCCTAAGAATGGGCACTTTAACATAGTTATGAGGTAGTAATTAAAATTCTGGACCCGTAGGATTGAAGCCACATATTAATCGGTTATTTAGTCTCTGCAATTCTAAGCCAAAATCCTATTCATTGTGAAGCTGATAGCTCGAGTAGGCAAAATTGGGACTGGTGATGCTTTTCCCGACAGCTCAAACTTGTAAATGATGTAGCTCAGTCAATTCTCCACCGATTTACAAGAAAAAAAATGCGCCAGAATTGCATAGATATGGGCCATCTATAAGCAGTGGCCAAAACAGGCACCTTTCTGAATCCGTAGATTGATTAGAATTCAAATTCTAAGTAATATCCTCCTACAAACCATGCTCATACGTGTTGTGGTTGGAAAGCTATAGTCCAATCTCTCCAGAGTGCCAAATTTGGCAGGGAAAACAAGCTGATTTCGCATTTTTGGAGCAATAAATAAAATTTCTACATGGAAAACTCTCTCAGTGGATTCAATCACATCATTCCCTCAAACCCAGTGCAAAAAATATATTGAATTGGTGTTGTGGAAGGTACAAAGTCCATGTCTCAAGAAATTGGCCCTGTGACGCTATGTCACGGCATGTCACTGGTCATCACACTTACCAAGGATTGTGCAACACCACTTCATGGCTCAGTCGGCTTGAGCGCTACTTACATTCACAAGGTCGAGAGTTCAATTCTTCGAGATGTAAAAAAAACTATTTTACTTAAATATAGTAAGGACACTGTATTCTAATGGTATAATAGTCATTAATTCCTTCCATGGAATCCATATGGAATCCATGGAATCCATATGGAATCCATGTGGATATGCCTGCATTCCATATGGAATGGTGTTGGAGTCCATATGGAATTAATCATTCCATGACCATTCCAGCATCATTCCATATGGAATCCATGATGTCCAGGGAATCAGAAACTGGCTGTGTCCTCAGTCAACATTGATTCCATGGATTCCATGGATTCCACATGGATTCCATATGGATTATACCGGGGAAGGTAAAGACCTTGATCTCGAGTGCAGGAGAAAGGATTTCTGGACGCCATGACCGGGTGTCAGCTGTGTGGTCGTCCATACAACAGCAGCAGTGCGAAAATACGAGTGCTTTGCATCCTCCTTTGCCGTCTGGAAGGGAAAAGGAGAGAAAAAGCCGCATCCCTGGAAACATCTATGAAAGATTGGAGCTGGTCGTTCGAGAGCGGATCGAGCATGACAAGTGTCTGTCACATGGCGACGGTCTGCCCACTCCCAAAATGTCACCCTTGGTTTCCAAAGGACATCATTCAAGCTCATGCAACTGGGGCTGAGAGCTTGCATCTGCCACCCCAGGCCCTCCGTGACACCAACACTTCAACACATTCCATCTCCCTGCCTGTGCGCATGCTGTGGTATAAGGTTGAAGAAGAAGCCAAGTCATCCTGGAAAAAGGAGGGATCCATGCCTTAGAGGTATGGCTACGAGGAAACCGGCCTTCCTCAGAATCGTGATACCGTCGGGGTAGATGTGAGAAAGGTGAAAATCTAAGAATTATCAGTAAATGTTGAACGACTATTAAATTCTAATGAAAAAGGTCTTACGTCTTGAGATCCCCTTGTAACACTTATTCTGATGGAGGAATTGAATTCTTAGTATGATGTCCCATATCTAACAAAGCGGTCACTTAGTTCTCACATAGAAAATTAAGAAGAATTGAGGACTTACCGGAAGAAGACAGTTCGCGAGGAGATGCAGTGGTATGTTCAGCCAAAAGATGAACAACTTGAACATAATCAATTCCATCTTCATCCCCATTCCCAGGCGCATAACGACCACCTTGCTGTCCTGCTTCCCCCAACTTGAAGTACAGCCGTGACATGGCGGAAGCCACCCTCCTCCCATATCAAGTCAACTGTGGAAGAGCTGCATTTGGATTGAGCATCATGGGAGAGGTCATCGATGAGGAGCATACCAGAAGGACAGGATCAGGATTCTTTGACTCCATTCGCGATGTCTGTCTTCAAATCCGCGCCCTGCAAGTACACGTTGGTAGACTTTGAGATCTTCCTCGGCCAAAGAGAGGGGACACCGAAGACTGGTCGTCTCGAACACATTCTGCTGCAATGCAAGACCTTGAAGGGAGGCCTATGCGACAGTGTATGGGTTGGGAGTGGGAGTAGGAGGAAGTTCTCCAGACGGAAAAGAATGCGAAAGTGGCCGCTGGGACGCAAAGGCAGGGTGTGTTCGGCAATGACGCGCAGCTTGATCTTTCTTCAAATGCACCCAAGCCAAGACCTCCATACCCCCCGCGCACTATCCCTCACCTCCATCGTAACGCTGCGAACTCCAGCATATCGGAGGATAAGGGTACATGAATCTGCAATGTTGGTCTGGATTTGTAAGAACTGGGAAAAGGATAGCAAATGGAATGGAACATACCTTGGCTAGCTTGAACTCTTTCGGACCTCCCCTCGAAATCCACCACGTATCGCCCCTTCCCTTCATGAGTACATATCACCAGTGGGTTCCCTAGCCTAACAGCGTGTTTGAGTTGCCGTCCGAACACTGTTTGTTGCTCGTTTGAAAGTTGTACGGCGCAGGTGGGTTGGCTTCTAAGGTGCTGGGGTCAGAGGCGGAGGAGGGACTAAGATCGTATGTGTCGTTTTCATTGCGCGTTGGTGTAGAATTTGGCCTCATGACGTATGGCCAAAGGGATGAACAACTAGACAGAATCAGGACATATGTCATGTCGTTGATATGCCAAGTAAGTACTCACCAGCTCCCTAATGAAACCAAGATGCTCCATCCTCTCTTCAGCTACCAACGAATCTGCGAGTTTTTGGCGAGTTTCTGGACAGGCGCCTCGCACTATACCGCTAGGTGTCCTCTGGTCCGTGGGTGTTGAAATTGTTCTCCACTTAGTACTTATTGACAGGTTTTACTGTGAGTTTGTCAACTGATAGTCACTCAATGGGGTTTTCAAGGGGCTTTGAAAAGAGTTTTTGACTGGTTTCATGAGTTTTTGAAGAAAGGCGGATGGCGTTGATGTTTGCTTGTGATGGGCATTTGATGGATATCATGCTAGTTAAAAATCGACTCTGTTCCTCAAGTACATGGCTATATGATGGGCTACAATTGGCAGAGATTGGCTGAAAAATCTACAATGCTTGCAAGTCCGCATGCAGGGCGACACAACTTGAGGATGTACATCGTATCCGAATGACACGAGTCCACAACATCCTTGATCACTGCTTGGAACAGCAGTCTCCTTGTCGAGCGGCAACCCAATAACACCCAAGTCGGCTACTATCCTACCTACCCTCGCCAGCGCCCACCCTGACCCACTCGTCAGACATCAAGCATTCCGAATCATCTCCTCTCTCCTCACACTCACCCAACCCGATTTAAGGATTCAGCTCCTCACAGATCTTACTGGGGATTCGCAGCTCCCGCAGATGCGCATTGCAGCCGTGGGTCTCGTTAAAGAAGCAATCATAGAGTCAATCTCCTCCACGAAACCAAACCCTTTCGCATCCCCACTCTTCCTGCGTGTCTTTGGCCCGATTCTTTTTAGGCCCAGTCCTCCGGATTTGTTTAGTGGGAGCAAGGAACTTTCACTGAGTAGCTTCCAAGAATCAAGTGAACCTCAACGGTTGGTAGAATGCTTGGCACTCTATTACATCCTTCTCCAGCACGATCACCAGAATCTGGTTCATTGTCTCTGCTTCCTCTCTCGATGCATGCTGAAAGTATGATTCTTGTTCAGACGGGCGTACATGATAAAGATGTCTTATCAAGTGTAGAGAGTAGTCTTTTAGAACCATTGCGTTCGATCTTGGCAAAGTGGATGAGCCATCCGTCTGTTTCTGGAAGTACGTCGGCCGAAACAGATTCTTGAACCCGTCTGAATGCTCATCTCAGGTCATATGCATGCTATAATGCCCCTCGTGTCTCTTCAGATGGGTCTTGAGAGGGTAGACGCTGCCATAGCCCAACTCTGATCTCCCAGAACTTAGAGCATGTTACTTACGAGGAACGTTCCTCCATACCGTATCTAGATTAAATCTAAATAAAAAGTGAAAAAATCTATATGCTACCCTATTTATCGCTCGAGTCATATCGCATGCTCCACTCCTACACCATTCTCCCCATCCCCCATCGTCATGTCCCTCGACGAGAAGGAAGACATGGAAAAAGAAGGTGGTACATGGCAGCCTGTGACGGCGATAGCGTCGCTGCCAAGCAATACTTCTCCTCTGTACACGGACCGCTGGACTAGAAAACTCTTATCGTATGGGGTGGAATCGCGGGGTATGTCTTTATTGCACGTCTTTCCTTTGGAGTATGAAGTTTGGTTGTAGGGATTCAACCAGTGCCGGTGGAGGAACGCACAGATACCCAGTTCAGCAAATCTTTTTCCTCTGGTTTTCGTGGAATGTCAATATCCTTACGTGAGTCATTCATTGCGTATGGTAACGGAGTTTTGACAGAGTGATGGCTAGGTTCTCCGCTGGAACGTTGGGCCCTGCTATCTTCGGGCTTGGACTATGTGACTCGTGTCTGACCATCTTGTTTTTCAACATCATATGTTGTGTGCCGCCCGCCTACTTGTATGTCATTCGTCTACTCCTGGCATTTGGAGGCTCACGTGACAGTTAAGAGCGACATGGGGTCCTAAACTTGGGATGCGGCAGATGGTCATATCACGATATTTGTTTGGGTATGTGGGCTTGGGCTGCAGCATTAATTCACCATTTCCTGACCATCAATGACAGATACTATGGAATCATCATACCCTGCATCCTCAATCTTGTGAACATGTGTGGGTTCTCTATCCTCAACTGCATTCTTGGTGGGCAGGCTCTCGCAAGCATGGGGAACGGGAACCTTAACTGGACATGAGCACCTTTGTCTTCCCTGTCAGGTCAGAAGTTATAGCATCTGATGCTTTATCAAACTTAGAGTGGGCATCGTCATCATTGCTATCATCTCACTGCTGGTGTCATTCTGTGGATACGAAGTTTTGAACTGGTAAGCCCAAGCTCATTCTTTGCCTATGAATTCTAATGTCAATTAGGTATGAGAAAGTGTCATGGGTCCCAGTACTGATCACATTCATTATTGCCCTTGGAGTGGGAGGCAAACATTTGTCTAATCCTCCACTTGCGGAACCTGCAACGGCAGCTGGTGTCCTTGGTTTCGCGGGCACCCTTGCTGGCTTTGCCATCACATTCTCGAGCCTAAGCTCCCATTTTACGACTTACTATCAGCCGGATGTCTCTGGGTAAGCTATTGCCGTGATTGCATGTTATTTGAGCTACACTGACATATCGTTAGGTGGAGGATATTTGGGTACTCTTTTGCGGGGCTCTTATTACCTATTGTGCGTTACCATTGTGTGTCTTCGTTTGCTTATGCTCAATCATCCCCCACAGGTCACCCTTCAGTGCCTTGGTGCTGCAGTAGTTATTGCAGCTCAAGGGGGTCTTAGGATTCCAAACTCCGACCAAGGGTTGGGTAGGTAGGTCAGCCGCTGGGGGAGAAAAAAAAAAATTGGAACCCTCTATAAAATGGTCTTAGGAGGGCCACTGGGGGTCATTTTCAGCCTCTAAAATGCTCCCAGAGTTGTGCATCAGCTGTATTCAGCTATATGTAAGCATTGTGCTGTACCATTTTGATTCATTCAGCTATCACACATTGATCATGCACCATACCCATTTTTTCTGACCTCGGAAATATTTTTTCTCTATTTTTCTGATCTTCTAAGATTTTGTGAAAATGTGACAAAGTCATGTGAATTGGTAAAATAATGCAGTATAATGTCAATTTCAAGGCACCTTGCTAAAGGTCAGGTAAAACTACAAAGGCCAGATCACAGACATCAAGGACTGGGGTATTGTGCATACTATCACTGTTAATATATAGAAATCACCTACATTTCGTTTGTAACATTTTGGGTCAGTGAATTGTGAAGGGAGATAATGATCATGTGAATGATGTCATATTACCATATATAGACATGTGCCTGATTACGTAGGTAGGTAGGTCAAGCTGGTGACTGCTAAAAAAAAAAATCGACCCCAGGTATTTTTTTTGAATCCTAGGACCCCCTTGTTGCAGCTCCTTCTATCCCAGCTTGGGAACAAGGATATGCAGGCGGAAACATTGGCGGCCTCTTGGAGGCCATGGTCCGCCCCACCGGAGGATTCGGAAAGTTCCTCGCAGTGCTGCTGAGTCTTTCAGTGGCAGGCAACATCGCAGCAACATTTTACTCAATATCGCTGAACATCCAGATCTTTATTCCTCCCCTGGTTGTAGTTCCTCGATATGTATTCTCGCTAGTTGCTACAGCAATGTAAGTGCTTCCAATCACCTTCTTCACAGAAACTTACATTCTCTTCTCAGAGTGATACCAATATCGATCGTAGGAGCGCACAGGTTCTATGACACGATCACCAACTTCCTTGGGCTGATCGGGTACTGGGCCAGTGTGTTCATCGCTATTATCATTCTGGAGCTTCTTGTGATCCGACACAATGACCCTGCGGAATATGACCTTGATGACTGGGACGTACCAAGAAGGTTGCCTTCAGGCATCGCTGCTCTTGTTGCTGGGATAGCTTCGTTCGGACTTGTTATACCTTGTATGAGCCAGGTGTGGTTCACAGTAGTCTCTCCTAGACAGACTTTGATATATGTGAAGCTGTACCTTGGTTCACGATATATGAAGTCTGTTGTTTGTCGTGCCCCAAAAACTGCATCAGGAAATGTTTATGTAATCTTCGGACTCTGAAATCGCAGTCTGACCTCGTTGCGTCGATATTGGTCTGCTCCCTTCACACCCTGACGCGATTTTGACCATTATACATCCTGAACATTGATTTTTTGGCTTTCTGAATTACTTCAAACACCTGGTGAACACTAAATTATGACCAAACCCTGCTGGCAGGACCCTCTAGGGCTACAAACCATCAACACCATTGTAAAAAAGACTATACCACTGTGGACGCTGAGCAGGCTGCATACGATTCAGCTCAACCTCGTTTCAGCTATCCTTGATGGACAGGATGTTCTCTGCTGCACTGCAACTGGAGATGGGAAGTTGGCAGCCTTTTGTATTCTATGTCTCAGTCTTTCAGAGTACAATTAACACCCCGAGTCCACCCTGAGTCATATCCTGCCAATCTGCCCACCCGTCCAAGGCCAATTGGCATCATGGAGGTAATTGAGGTCGAGATTTAGTAGGCTCCATAAAATTACATACAATCGAATGTGGCCGTTGCTTCTTTACCACCACCACAGCACCAGTCTTGCGAGAGGCAGCCATACATTTCGTGAGATGCCAAGCAACAGGTGCGCGACTTTTGTATTTCTCCACTAGGTCCGCAATACTAAACCTCTCCAAAGCTTCCCAAGTGATGAGATTGACACTATCCATTGGACGCCGTCTGTTTGTCGAAGCTCAGAGATGAACACGCCCAAGTGAATAAAGAAGGACGTGTGTAAAAGATGTCAGCAGGAGAGACTGATGGTGAGAATGGAGCATGTGGTGAGCTCGGCGCTGGTGCACTGTGCTTGTGCTTATAGACAAGAGACTGACCTTGTTCCGCCCTTGTAGAAACCGAGCAACGGACTTGGCATGACATACACCTCTTGGATCAGGCTGTCCAGAGACGCGGCTCAGGTTGTAAAACAAGATCTTCAGCAATTCACTGACAGAGTCAAAGCCAGAGTCCTTGAGCAGTTGCTCCATCCGATCAAATTTTGATGCGAGTTTTGCGCTTTGTCTGGTGGACCTTGTACCAGTCATGGTTGACTCGAGGTTCCACTTGGACAACGAAGCTCATTGAAAGGAGAGCTGAGCAGAGGCAAAAACAGCTCAGGAGATGACGGTTCCCCTAGCTCACTCGGATGTGAAAGAAGGAGGGAAATTGAGGTAGGTGGCAGAAACTGTGCAACATAATGTGGAGCTTCCAGGACCTCAACCAGGGTGTTTTCTTGTAAGTTCAGATATTTCTGATGTTGTTTTCCATAATAATTGATGTTTCGAATAATAAAAACTTGAATTTGGATAGGAAGGGAGGACAGCGGTGCTGCAAACACATAAAAAGCTAAGAGGGAGCGTGCAGTTGTTGACGTGTTGTTGACGCGCCAGGGTTTCAAAGTCCGAAGATTACATAAACATTTCCTGACGCAGTTTTTGGGGCGCGAAGAAAACAGGACTAGGTTCACAGGCCCAATCGCCAAAACGACGGGGGATATCAGATTTGAGGTTGCCTTTGGAGTCAGTGCAGTACTATACCTTCCTTTTCGTCTGCTTGAGGTTAGAATACTGGGGCATGTGTGATATATATGTGCAAGACATGCCTGCACATATTCACCATCAATTTTAAGGGTTTTCAGCGAGATTTCGCAATTGCACATGGACGTCATGTTGTCAAAATGCTCCAAGTTGTCATGGACGAAAACATTTGTCCTTTTGTTACGGTGCAACATCACCCAATAAAGGTTGCCACTGGGTCTAACCTCATTGGCCCGCAGGCTCCGGAATGCATCAGCTTCATTCAATCTCATATACGAAAGATAAATACACAGTTGAACAACTGAAAAAGCTGAGTTCTCGTGCACGGCGCGGGCCAGCTCATAAACAAGGTGAAGGGCGGGATTCACGGCGAATCATAATGCCAGGCAGTGAAAAAAGCTTTTTTGCGCTTAGCAACTCTTTCAATTCTTCAGAACATGACCCCTGTACTGGTCATCCACTACTTTTGCCCACACATTCCATCGTCTTCCCGCCACCAATGGGTTCCCAGCCTAATGGCGTCTTCGAGTTGCCATCCGAACACTGTTCGTTCCTTGTCAAAAAGTTGTCCTAGTAGTAATTGGGCCCTGTCATATTTTGATGATTACGGCACAGGGCGGGTGGGCCATGGCTCCTAGGGGGCTGGGGTCAAAGACGGGGAGCGACTTGAATGGGGAGGGGATGTTCATGTCGTTTGCAATGTCGAATTTTGCTCCTTTCAGCTTCAAGTGGTTTTGCACACAACCATGTAAGTTGATTGGGTTGAAGATTTGATGAGTTCTGCTGCGGATGCTAGTAAGGAAGGACATTATGATCGTTTCTTGTCAGAGGGTACTATGTTTTTTGTGGTGGTTGGTGGGTTGTTGAGGAGGTTTGGTGATGATTTGTTGACTTTTGCCTAGTTTGTGGTGTTTTAGAGGTAGGGGTAGAGAGCGGCAAGGGCGAGAGGGAGGGAGAGGTTGAATACACAGCTGAGGTGCATGCAGGTTTCTTTTGGTGGGGCTGAAAGGGTTCTTTCAGAGTCAGAGTCTTTGTCCAGGTCTGTCGCGTTTATTGGCATCCAATATGGTTAAATATGGATTCAACGAATCCGGGCCTGCTAGCTCATGAGGGTCATGAGAAATGAATAGCAAACGTCGCAGCGTTTAGACTGGTTTGAGGGGACTTGTGTGGAGATTGTATGAGTGCTTTGAAGAGATATTTTTTCCCCAAGACATACCTTCTGTGGTAGGAGGTGTTTCGAAAAAGTATGAATCAGGAGATGCGCTCAGCGGTGGTCGAATCCTCTCCCATAGGGCCCCACAAACAAAGACGATGCAAAAGTCAACTTGTGCCTTTCAAAGGTGAGTTGGGCCGTGAATGACGATGACAACGATGGGCTCACCAGTTCGGTAAGTTTGGCACCATCAACTCCGATATTAGCCTCTCAGTGTATTTCACAACGATGACAAGCCTCCAATATGCATGGTGAACGGCACATAAACCATGCAGAAATCCGTCAAAGGTGCATATCGACAACCAGGTCTATAGATTCGTTAGCTACCACCATGATGGGAACAAAGAGAGCCATACTCGGGAAGTCTCCACAATAAGATGTCAACCGATGAATCAAAAGCCGTCTGACCTCACGTTGATAAAATTTGAAGACCATGACCCTCCCTTTGCCTGTGAGCACTCTTTTGAACATCTTCGCCACTTATGAACATCGAAGGCCACGACAAAACTCAACCTCCCACCGCAGTTCACTGATAAGGTCTGAGCCCAATCAGAACCTTCAATGACAACTGTAAATGAGCTGAGCTGCTACACAATAGATTGTGTTGTGAAAGACAGTTCAGAGGCGGGGTATGCACACCTTTCCGCAGCCATGGCTACAGGTGGAAGACACTTCCTTGGGTTTTGAAAGGGCATACTTGGGGCATACAGACGTCAATTCCTGGATCACAGGGTATGTAGAGAGAGTCAAAGTTCTTGTGAGCGTGCCTCCCAGCGTCTTTAAGAAAAACAGCTGACAGGATGTGGGTATTACCAGGGCAGAGGTACCCGGAGACGATGGAAATGAGTCGATGATACAGTGATCAAGATTCAAGAAATGCAGTCAAATTGCGCTGATAGGGAATTGCGGATGAGACAGCTGAGTGGGAGGAGAAGGACAGATGGATTGGCATGGATTGTGATGCTCCGGAGAGACTTGACAAGTAAGATCTACTGAGTTTGAGGGTCGACATCCATTGGTGGGGACTTAGATCTCTGCGAGACCGTCGAGATCGTCTTCTTGCATCTCCTGTGCCACTAACCATCTCAATCCGCTCACCAACGCCGCATTCATTCATGTTCCCCACAAATTGTGGTGATAGTCGAGGAGCGCCAATTCAATTTCGACATCGAGCAAGCTTCTCCAGTCCGTTCGCACTGTACATTCACTCCAGCTCGAAGACATCTGCGTGGTAGTATCCGCTACATGGTGGCGACTCTCCATCCCATCCACATGATTTCCAACCAATGAGTCCAAGGCTCGTTGACATTCCAATCCCGTGAAAAGACAGGTAACAAAGGGAACTGGCCGTCTATCTGAGAAACACAAACTGCGGAAATGCCAAAGCGCAGTGGGCGTCTGCCTGAGGATCCCGGGGTGGGCGACAGGTGAAATATATAGGACCAAGGTTGTAATAGGGAAGGGGGAGTTTTTGAGCCATCGTTGGGGGGATGGAGGAAGAGCTGGAGGTTGAATGTTGAGGAGCGGATGAGGGGATGGAGGGAAGCTTGGACAGTGCTAAGCCTTTTGCTCGTACGTTTCGCAGAAGAAAGATATGTAATTTGAGGGAATGGAGGAGGCGGTTGTGAGATGGATGGAGCTGGATGGCTGCTAATGGGATGAGGGACGGATGTCGGTTGAAGGAGACAGATAAGGAGACAGATATTGATCAGGCTCTTGCCCATTGTTTCCGTTCATTTCATATTATGCCTCTGGTTGCTGAAGGCTCGACATCGAGGTACAGTTATTGTTATCCGCAAGTTATCTGTCAGAGAAATACACAGGATATATCATAGACAAACGTTACCTGCTGTGTTCAGGGCTCCAGGATATTTTTAAATGTACATAGTGTTTTGAAGTCCGGTCTCATGACTGGAAAAAGACCAGACCAGACCAAGACCACAAAAGACCAGACCTGTGGTCCAGTTTTTTCTTCATTTTTGAGAAGTAAAGACCAGAAAAAGACTGGTCTAAATTAACCAGTCTTGACTGGTTAGGACCGGTTTTTTGTAGCCCACTAAATACCCTTCAAAACGCACTCAAGCACGTATTGATTGGTTCAAAAATGACAAAGATAGAGTTGAAAATGTAAAATTTCATTAAAAATAGTAAATGTACCAGACTTTTTTTTATAGAAACACCAATTTGTAATGGAATTTAACGTTATTGGGCTCTTTTTTAAGCTAGAAAAAACGTTAATAAATTTACCAATTCATAACTTTAAAATATTGGCCGAAAAACTGGTCTTAAACCAGGTAAAACCAAAGAAGACCAAGACTGGTGTATAGACCACAAAAAACCATGGTCTGCAGTCTTTTGACTCCTGGGGAAAAGGCAGACTGGTTATGGTTATGGTTAAAGCCCTTGGGCATCAAAAAAGTGGACCAGACCGGACTTTTAAACACTAAATGTATATCACTAATAGAATAACATATTCAATTAGCAATATAAAAGATTATTTATACAATAAATCAATTGATTCAAAAAAAGGGATAAAACCATTTGAAAACCCTCCCCCCTCCATAAAATCTAAGGGATTCTAAATTAGTTGTCTAGAGACCTGGGTTACAGCAAGGAGTGGCTGATAGCTGATGATCAACATATTTGAGGTCCCACCTTCCTCAGCAGTGGCTCTCTTGCTGCTGCAATGGTGAGGTTTACCTTCATCCCATGCTACATTGTGCTAGACCTTAGAGCACTGAAGGTTCATATGATTTTGACCAGTTACCTAACACATTGAATGCATTATGACTCAGAGATGATTCTCATTATATGGACTTGGAAATGTTATGGGGGATGGATTAATGGGCAGGTGGAATATAGGGTTTAAAATTTGTTCTTGTGCAGATGCACAGTGGGTATTGTAATGGGGTATGATGGGAACCCAAGCACTCAAGCTCGAACATTGCTGAGAGCATCAAAATAGAAGTAACCAGTTAAATTCAAGAATGTAGTAAAGAAGCATACACTCAGAAGACTCATTATATGTCATATAATAAATAAAGAAGGTATACATCTAAGTGGGAAATAAAATAGGTTGATAAATGAAATAACACAAAAGATGTGATGTTCAATTTAATTTGACAATGGAATCAACAGGTCCAATTCCCTCTTAAATGGGATTACATAATGAAGAAAGACACTGGCTCCAGTTTATGCCATGAACAAAGTTGTTAAACTGAAGTGAGATTGGAATGGCACCAATCAAAGCAGTTGTTCTTGGCCAGAACAAACCAGATTTATTTTGGTCTGGCAGCCAGAGGAGATGTGCATTATCTGGGAGCATGATCCAATTTCGATCATAATGGCAGAACTTTAACAGTGGTATATCATAGAAGTCACAAGCATCCCACACTCTGACTGTCTTGTGGTCAGATCCAGAGACAATGTGCCTGCCATCAGAAGAAAATGCAACTGAAGTAACCCAATCATCATGGCCTTTGAGAGGATCCATGACACTCTGACCTGTTTGAGCATCCCACACTCTGACTGTCTTGTCCTCAGATCCAGAGACAATGTGCCTGCCATCAGGAGAAAATGCAACTGAAGTAACATAATCATCATGGCCTTTGAGAGGATCCATGACACTCTGACCTGTTTGAGCATCCCACACTCTCACTGTCTTGTCATCAGATCCAGAGACAATGTGCCTGCCATCAGGAGAAAATGCAACTGAAGTAACATAATCATCATGGCCCACAAGTCTGAGGAAACATTTCTCTGACCAATGTTCTCTTTGACCAATCTGCACAGTCAATGTCTTCTGAAATAACTTCAGAAAATGCAAAGAGATCTTTGAACTCTGTGGAGCAAATGGCAGTGCTGACAAATAAATATGTGGTGCTGCATCAGATATTGGTTCCAAAAATTCCATGACAAATCTATTTGCATCTTTTGCAAAGTCTGATAAGCTAGGTTTTGGAACCTACATTATTTTCAAGTCAGTATGATAGTAAATTATACATATTGCTACTCACCTTGCTCCAATTTGCAGCTAACAATAGTAGTTGAGCAGCATGGTTTACAGTTCCCATCAAGCTTATAATTTCTAGCCAGTGTAAAAGATGGACCATTAGAAATGTCTCCAATACTTCCTAAACTTTCAGCTATAGTATTTTATCACAATCCTCCTGCAAATAGCTGGCCCAGAAGTAGCTTGCATGATCTAAGGCTATATATTTGACACTCTCAAGGTGGTCATTAAGCTCTAGTATGTTTTTGTTCAAAATATAGGATGTTTTTAGATCAAAGAAGTTAAACCTTAGTTTTGCATTCAGAAGTTTCAAACAAGACCCAGCAAAGCAGAGACTATACAACTGAGGATCAACCGAGGTCTTATCAGTGCCCCCCTAATTCCTGCAGGAATCCGGTCATTCCTGCGGATTCCGGTGGATTCCGGAGGAATGAAATTTGGCAGGGAGGCCTGCTATTTTTGTCATTCCGGTGCCTTACCATTCCGGCGGAATTTGGGCATTCCGGAATTGACACCGGAATGTTCCGCAGGACTGACAGGAACGGAATGGAACGGAATCCGGTTC